ACTTTGGGACTTAAAAGTCCTTCCCAATGCATTGAATTTGGTGAAGTTATATTTACTTCCATTGGCTTAGCTCTGTTCATAATCTGCCTCATGAGTGTTACTTCTTACCCATGGATCCACTTAAGATTATTTTGTCTTTCTGAAGGAAATCTGTCCTAAGTCTGGTTGCAAATATATGGTCACATTATAATAGTGTGTACCTGAAATGCCACAGTGCTGTGACTGAGCAAAGTTCAGACCTACTTCACCTCTTCTGATCAGATGCATCCTGAGCTTAGATTTTCTTCTCGTGCTGCAAGCAGAGAGAGCCAGAGTCCCACACAGGCCTGCTCTCACTGCTGTGCCACTGTGCTCCCCCAGTCATGAGATATTTGCGATGTGCAAAACCCCACACAGGGACTGAGACAGCACGGCCCAAAAGCCAATGGCTGCTTTTCCATTTGCAGCAAAACAAAAACAAAACCACAAAAAGCACCACCAACAAAAAAAAAAAAAAACAAACAAAAAACCAAAAACCAAAGAAACAAAACCAAACCACCATCAGTTTCAAATTTAAACAGCTGTTTATATAGGTGTTTATATTTTTGTCTATCCTTTGACCTTTTTGTTGAACTCTTTTAAGAGCCAGATATGAACTATAAGGTTAGCGCACAGAGAAACGCAAAGCAAGAGAACAGGTTGTAACAGTGATGAGGCTGAATTTTAAATTCTCCACCAGAAACAAAGGCATTTTTTTCTGTTGGGCAGGCTGTGAGGAAGTCGGATTGCTTTTTAATGTCCTTTCCTGTATGTCAATATAAGCCATCTCTTTGGGCATGCTCAGAAATTTTTGGCTTAATAAATCCTCACTGTAAACTACATGCTTCCACATATGGGAGGCAAAATGTTTACTTCAACAAGCATTTTATTACACAGACCATGAAATATATCTGACTCTCACTGCACAGGCACAATATATCATTGTATTACAGCAGCCTGGCTGCAGCTTTCACCTCAGCACAGAGGCACAAGGCAGGAGGTGCTGGGGTGGCCCCAGGCATCACCGGATGATTCACTTTCCAGTATGAGAGAAGTAAAGGGATTTTGTTTAGAGATTGACAGAAAACCTGAGTGTTCAAGTGGCTACAAAAGGCACTTTTGTACCTCCAAGGCAAGGGAGTTAACATGCTACTTTTGGCCCAGCCCAGCCTGGATGAGGGCGCCGTGCAGGTGATTTGGGAGCTGTGGAACATCCACCTCAGGGGTGAGAAAGAGCAGCTTTGTCCGGCCCCAATCCTGCTGGTGGAGACCCAGGAGCCGCCGAGAGCTGGCGGCTCTCCCCCAGCCTTGCCAGGGCTGTGCTAGCAGCGGGTGTTGTTCTCGTGCTTCAGTCTGCAGGATCAAGCACATACTACGTGAAGGAATGGAGGTGGACAAGCACAGCAGGTGCTGCACAGGATGGTGGCTGCTGCAGGCAACAATTCAGCTCTGTGTGGATGGAGCCATCACTGGGGAAGCCGCTCCGTGGCCCAGTCGAAGGCAGGTAGGGCTCAAGTGGGTGCCGAGCGTGGTGAGCTCGGCTTGGTCCGTAAAGTGTTGGGAAAAGGCTGCCTTAGTGAGGCCAGGGCTGCGGGAATACAGCGCCCACTCCAGGGGGGAACCTCGAGCTGTCTCTGGCCGTCCGAGGCGCTGTCCCGGCACAAGCAGGGAAAGGAAGAAGGAAAGGAAGGAAGGAAGTAAGGCAGGTAGGCAGCGCCCGCCCTCTCCCCGCCCTCTGTCAGGACTGGCCGAGCCGCGCCCGCCCCGGGAAATGGCGGTGCCACGAGGAGAGGTGGGGAGCTCATGGCGGCGGGGCACCGGCCCTGCTCCTCCCGCGGGGGCGGCCGGCCGGCAGCGGAAGAGTGGCGGAGCTCGGGCACGGCCCCCCGCGCTCGCTCGCACGCGGAAAGGCCCTGTCGCCGTGCGGCCGGAGCGGCTCCCCCGCGGTGGCGCCGAGGCCCGGGCTGCGAGCCCCGTGTCCCTTGCGGGGGCTGCCGCCGCGATGCGCATCCCGCGGGGAGCCCGGGCCACGGCCGGCGCGGGGCCCGTGCGGAGGCGCTCCCACCCGGGGCCCAGGTAAGCGCTGCCCGCCGGGCTCGCTGCCGCCGGGAGGGGCTGCTGTGGTGGTGGTGGTTTAGTGAGGTAGCCCGGGACCCACTGCTGCAGCCTTTCCAGGGCTGTTTAAGCCGTAGCTTTTGCGTCTGGGTTTTATTTAGCTCCAGGTGTGGGATGAGCACCCTTTTGGCAGAGGGCGCAGCCCCTTACAGCCATTTTGTGAAGCAGTTTGTCTCAGTGTCGCTTCCATCGGAGCAACTAAAGCTTGAAAAATAAGCCTGTTCAGAAAAGGTTTAAGTAAGGTGGGCTGGGACAGCTGAGTCCCAGTATATATTGGCAACCGAGCACACCACTATAAACGCAATGGAGAGAAAATTCAATAAAAAGGCAGTGTTGTGTTTTGGACTGGCCCAGGACTGCAGTAGAGTCTGAAGAGGAAGCAGTCTCACCTTTGCGCGGTCCCTGGTTGCTTTGCTGTGTGCTGCTAATGAGTGATACTGGTTAATGTTGGGAAACAGGTGGGCAGTAAAAAGATTCAACCGAGTTTGAAGACTAGAACAGGGAATTGCCTTCCTGGCTGAGTGGTGAGGCTCTGCTGTGTACTTTAGGAGGGTTCAGTCTGTTCTGAGACTTTTCAGGAGTTTCTTGTGGAGATTCATCTGGAGGACTAAGAAAGTGGAGCCAGTGGCACTATATTGACTCCACTGATACTATCCTCCTAAATTAAATGGTGGGAGAACAAGGCCTGCCTGTGAGATAAAAGTCAGGACCTACTTGATCTACCTACAATGTTTTAATGGCAGCGAGAGAGACCAAGTTAAAATTCATGTGTTTCTGTAGTAAAAGGTTGGATGTGTTTGTTTTAAATCTACATTAAATGTATTCCAGGGTCGTTGCTTTGTCTCTTGTATTTGTGCCTTTGACATGTGTCACCTGTTTAATTGCTCACAGGCCCTTTGTTCCCGGCTCCAGCACTGGGTGAGGAGGGACACTGGACATGCCTTGGATTACGGTAACCGGTTTGAAAACTGTTTTCAGCCTCAGAAACCTGTGTGAGACCAGTGTGGTCTTCTGAAAGGGCTTCACGTGTTGCCCTCCAGTGGCAATAATGTGAATTTGAAATCACAGGGAGTTAGGGAAAGGGATCCTTCTGGCCTGAAGGGGTTTGGGCAGCCCTGCCAAAGTCCCCAGTTAGCTGCTGGGGGAGGATGGTTGGGGGTGTCCTGTCCTTTGGCAGTTCCTGGTGCTGCAAGTCCTGCAGGGATGCATGGATCACTGCTGCACATGAGGACTGCCTGTGGGCTTTGGCTGGCCAAAACCACAGCATTAGGCATGAGCTTCTGTCCTTTGCAGAGGATGGATTTTACTGTGTGCCAGTAAATTCCCATAAGGAAAATGAACAATGAAGAAAAAGACCCAACAGATACCAGGAAAAATGCAGCTTGCAGCACATAACGTTAGACACAAGGACAACTCATTTTTAACTGACTGTAGCCCTACCACATGATGTAGTTCAGCCAGAGTTCCTGTATACAGGCCAGAGGTAAGAACTGGTTTTGCCTCATCTGAGATACCTTTCAATGCAGAGAAATAGATCTCAGATCATCACAGTTGTCCAAGTTGAGTGCTGTACCCAGAGTTTCAATAAACGGAATAAAACTGATGAGTAAACTGAATACAGAGACATGTAGGGTTGGTATAAACTTACAGCTTAGTAGACCTTTGTAGTGGAAGTGGTGGCCTCCCTGTAAAGGATTTATATAGAGATTGTTCAGAGCAACAGCTGGTTCTAAGAAACACACATTATCAAGTTTCCTTTGCTGTATAAATATTTAAGTGATGGGGTTTGGATTCTGAAGGGAGGAAACCAAGGCTAGTTTGGCCTAGTGGCAACAGGTGAAGCTTTTATTAAACAGAAACATGCAAACTCGTTTCCCTTACTGTTTTTAACTTAGAAGCCAATTACTGCATTTTTTTTCTTTCTTTCAGATAATTCTGCCACTGCCTTAGCAGTCCTGTGCCATGCCTGGTGATGACCATGGGGCCATTCTCCTGAGCAGACTGCTCTGTACTCAGCCACTGGCAGCATAACATCAGGGCTGTTTGGTACCTGTGGAGTCCCACTGCAGGAGTCTGAGCACCACAAATTTGGCTCAGAAAATCTGCCCTTGCACAGCCAGCAAGAGGGTTGTGAAGTCCTGGGGACTTGACTGTTCAGCTCACCAACTGGAAAGTATTTTGCCAGGTCACAGCTATGGTTTGAGCACTTAAGGTGAGAGCTGATGGTGGGTAGTAGAATCATGGGTTCAGCAGCAGCATTTGTGCATTAGAGACTCTGTTGGGAAGTTCAGATGTCCTCATACCTCTGTTCTGATACCTGTGTGTTATGCTCTTTCAGGTATCTACTTGAAATTAAGAGTGGGGCTCTCAGTTTTTGGCTGATAGGGGTAAAACAGTGGGTATAAGTTGGACCCAGAGTCAAGGAGGACATTTTTAAGCAAACAATGGTGCTATCTCACCACTTCCATCCCCTGCACAGGAGCTGTACCCTAGAGCTGCTGTTCCCTGGGATGGCCATGCCAGCATCAGCAGGGCACACATGGCCACAAGCTGCTCTGCTCACTGGCAGACCAAGCAACTGAAAGTCTCTGGCCTGCTTACAGCAGGTCTGACAAAGTGACCATAACTTTTTCTGCCCTGAAAATACCTTCATTCCAGGTAGGTTAAGAGGTGATGCTGTGCTGGTATAGCTCAGTGTTGCTAAACCCATCTTCTGAGGCTTTTGTAACAGATATCCAAGAGCAGCTGGTACTCATCGCTGCTGTAGGGACATACTCAGCTCCTGTTTTTGTGGTTTCTAAAGGCCTGTTTTGGCAAGACTTTTTTAAAGCTATTTGAGAAGGAAGAGACAAGCTTTTGACACACAGTTCTATGTAAAATCTCTTCAGTTTTGCCAATGGCATTTATTTGTAGAGACCCTGCATATTGTAGAGGCCACTGCTTGTTCCTGGTGATTCCCTAGAATGGAAACTTGAACCAATGATTTTTGTAAAGAATGTGCAATAAATCTCTGGAAAAGCTTTTCTGTTAATGACTCTTGATTGAGTTCAGGTGGTTTTGACATACATGGATGAGGCTGTTCAGCGCTGGCCAAGCCTGCTTGACAGGCAGGGCCTGTCTTGATTGGTGTCTGGAAATGAAACCCAAACAAGGATGTCTCAACTGTGTGCTGGGCCAGAGTCCTTCCAGCCTCACTGGACACCCACAGCTTCTAGGGCACAGCATGGAGTGGAATTCTTCCATGCTGAGGGGGAGAACAGATCTGTGAGTGTGGAGGGAGGGTACACCCGAGTGGAGGTGAGCATAGCTAAAAAGAAGCAGCTAAAAATGTTGCTTGTTTTTCTGTAAGGACAATCAAGCACTGCAAAAAGCCTATATTTTTTCCCTGGGTGAATGAAAGAAGCATTCTGTAAAATGGCTTAAATTTGAGACTGGAGTGCAGGCTTGGGTATTCCAGAAAGCCTCACTTGGTATGTAGGCACTAACAGTTCACACACAGGGGAGGCATATTTGATTATCTTGAGTCACAGACTTCATGCAGCAACAAGAACACTTGATTGGGAGATCAGCTTCATGGCTGGAGTGTTTGCAGCTCCAGCAGCTGTGCAGTGATTATGCCTTTTGCTATTTTTGTTTTTTCTTTAAATTTTTAGCTTTTGAGTAGATTCATAAGTAGAATTAACAATTCTTCAGAACTGGGGAGTTCCCTAGGCTTCAGGTGGCTGTTGGGGGAACCTGTGATCCAGCTGCCACTGCTGTGTGGTGACTGTCACCTCTGAGAAGGAAGGTGTCCATTTCTAACAAGAATTCTGGGATGCTGATGGATTTTGTGACCACAGTGGCTTTTTCTAAGATCCTTCCCAAGAGGATGTAAACTAAGGACTCGGGCTTGGTAGGTGGTCTGGGTCAGGGTCACTTTGCTCTTACTAGGGGGAAACAGCTGGTTCACAGGGAGTATGATGGTGCAGTTAATGCTGGAAGAGGGCATGGCTCAGGGCAGGTTACACATGGGTGTGGCAGCTGCAGAACACAGGTTATGGCAGGGCAGTCCACGGGGGTGTTGTAATTCCAGTATGTATCCTTAAGATACCTGGTGTTTCCAGTGCAAAGCAGGGGTGGACATAATGCTGGAAGTGGGAGTTGAATGTGTGAAGGTGCTGGGCAATATCTGCATTGAAAAATGACACTCTGCAGTTCTCATAGTCCAGCAGGATGCCAATCCTTCTTGGGGGAACAGTAATTCTGATGTCAGGTGTCATCCCACTGTGCAGGAATTCATACTTGTGCCTGCAGGCAAGAAAAACAAAAGAGCTGAAGGCACCCTGGCTCTCAAAGGGAAGCACTTTGTGCACACAGGTGCCCAGGTTGCTCATGAGAGTCAAAGGCAGTGGTGTTAATGTACCATGTCCAGGGGAGAGCCAGCAGTGCAGCTGAGGCAAGAGGGGAGCTGGCATTTCTGCAGGCAGGTGTGACATACTGCCATAGGTAGGACAGAGATCAAAACCAGTTGGGTATAGCTGGGTTTAGCCAGATATGTAGTTTTTGGATTACATGTAGTTTTTGGATTACACAAATCTATTACACTCTGTCTTCTCACTGAGGTTTTGGTAATGTTTACAGCGAAATTCTGCAACTGACTTTATTCAGCTTTGTTCCTGCAATTTCTTGTTTCAATGTGACAATGTCTCATTTCAATGAGACAATGTACCATGGACCCTTCAGTTTGATTCACTAGCACCCTCACAGTCAACAGAAATGGGTGCTTTGAAGATGCAAATCTGCCACAACACAAGTTCTGAAGCAAGGAAGTTGGGCAAAATAACCCATGCCAAATGCTTCTGAAACACCCTAAAAAAGCAGGAGGATTTGCTTAAGCAGTATCCTTCCAACACCAGTTTACAGGGACAGTGGTGGAATGTCAGAGGCCCCAGTGCCTGGTCTGAGCTGATCCAAAATCTCTGCCTTCTCTGCTGCCCTGCGTGCAGGTGTAAGAGTTGTTCCTGTTGGAGACCTGCAGCCTCCACAGCCCTTACCTTGAGGGTGTGATGATGTGCCTCATGCACCAGGATGAGTTGTTTGCCCCCAGGTGACCGTGTCTTGGAGTGTTCTCAAAAGCCACACCAATTCTGTACTCTGTATCTTCCTCAACTTCCACCTCCCAGTAATGCTTTCCTGGAAATGGGATCAGACTGCCCAGGATGGCAATACATCTGTGGGAAACAGGAATAAGTGTTTTGGCAGGGCCTCTCTTTAATGCTCTTCACAGTGTTTAGATATGTTCAGGTATGTCTATACCTGGACTTTACATAGCAATAGACAAAAGCCACTTCTGCTGTCACCTTAGCAGTGCAGTGTGGATTTTTGACTCCAGTGAAATTCCTGCACTGAGGAGCTGACACCCAGCCTGCAGGTTTCTTTGTGACACCTGCCCTGTTTTTACTTGTGGGTAGCTTTGTATAAATGAGTGCCCTAGGCACTTCCAGGAAGATGGAGGACAGCATCCCATAGTGCCTGCGTTTTCTGGGAAAGTTAATGCTTGTTAGCAAAGAGAGTGCTCTAGTGAACCCCAGCACAGCAGGGGAAAAAAAGTACAGATTTTGCATTTTCTTTCCAAGCAGCCCAGACTTGGACATCACTCACCAGTGGAAATGAGCACTGTAACAGCATGAAGTTCCTGGGGCAGCTGGGGAGGAGGGAACCTGTCTACACTGGTTCCCTCTGTGTTTGGAGAGATTAGGAAGAATTGAACACGGTAGGAGAACTTGTAATATACTGGGTACCTGGGCCAGGAAATGTATGATAGGAACCATGCAGAAAACAACTCTTTTGAAAGTTGTGTAGTAGAGACAAAGATAATGAATTACAGAGAGACCCTTCAGCTTGATTTACTGGCACAGTCTTGAAATCAAAAGAACTGGGTGCTTTGAAGATGCAAGTCTGCAAAAACACAGGTTCTAAAGCAAGAAAATTGGGCAAAATAACCCATTCCAAATGCTTCTGAAACACTCCTAGGAGAGCAACATGAGTTCTGTAAGCTTACACCTCAGTTTTTTCTTAGGAAAAGTATGTGGTGTATTAACTGTCATTGTCAAGGGGGACAGCAGGTTTCAAACACACAACTTTGATATTCCTATGGTAGTGTCTAAAGTTGTAAGTTACAAAGGAAAAGGATGTTGCTGGCAGACACTGAGCTCTTCTAGGCAATGCTGAGAGGGAGCTGCACTCATCACTTGGAGGGCCTGTGGTGTGAGGATGGGCACACACAGCACAATAGCTGTACTCTGCTTCTGCAGCTGCACTTGCTCAGAGCAAGTGTACAGTTCATTGCAAGTGCATGTAAATGTCTTGGGAACAACCTAAAGGCTGCTGAAATCAGACCTCAGAGGGACTGTGTTGCTGCAGCTTGAGAAGGAAAAAGAATGATGCAAAATGGATGGGTAAACATCTGTGAACAAAACATGACCATAGTAATGAGGGCTGCAAAGCCAAGGCAAACCTGAGCTGCACTGAAGAAGCAGTTAGGAAATACATCAGCCACCCAAATTTAGGAGACCACACAAACTTCATAAATAAGTATCTTGGTTTGAAGGAGATTTGTGAAAGTTCATAGTGGTACCAAAACCTCAGCCTTTGAATGAGATGAATGTCAGTTCTGGCTGTTTACATGAAACATAAAAGCATGCCATAGAAGTGGGATGAAATCCCATTTAAGGTTACCATGATGGCTTTAATGAAAAGGATCAGCAGTCTCCCAGCTCTTTTCTACCAAGCCCTCTAGTAGCACTGCATTTCCATGGAGGGAATAAACTGTAGACTTGTATTACCCTGCAATGTCTGTCCTGGTTATATGGTGTTTCTGTGGTTTTGGCTGGAAATATGCATTTTGGCAAGCTTAGCCTCTCACTTCAATGGCAAAAGGCCTAATTATTTTTTGCAAGTAATAATTGGTCCAAGTAGTATCAGTTATATCTTTCAGCAAGAGGCAAGTTTTCAGATCCCTCTCCTTTCCTCAGCATTTGTTATGGCACCTAAATATCTGTTCAAATTTAGCTCAGTATGCCAGACATGTAAGTAGGCTTGTACATAATTGTGGCTGCTGTATCTGTAATCCTATTTAAGAACTTGCATTAATTTCCAAGTTCCAAAGAGCAGCTGGAGAGAGAGATTTCAACTCAAAAATTTAATCAGAGCTGCTGAAAGCCCCATTAGATATTTCCTGGCATCTGTTAAAAGAACCAAAGAAACTGAAATGCCCCTGTATACCTTGTAAAGCTGTTATCATAGACAGGCAGATCACACTCTGGGTTTTCCAGTTCATCACATGAAATGGTAAATCCGTCATCTAGAATTGCCAGTAAAGGATGGGCTGTGTCCTCATTAAGGTAGAAACAGGTGCCTGCAAGAGAAAATGCCTAAGGATCACTCCAGTATCTCCTTATAACATTAGAATTGCAGCAAGGGTGTGATGAAATGTTATTTGGATCCACAAAAAGATTCACCAATGCTCTTGAAAGAATCTGTGGCTGGCATTGAGAGGACAAGATCATATTTTTAAATTTTTTCTAATAAATGGCTGTTTTGCAGTTTAACACTGTTTCGTTTCAGCCTTGTGAAAAGCAGGGGATTTGCTTAGCCTGGTTTTGAACCCTCCCAGGGTTCAAAGCTGCAGACATTGGGCAGGAAGTAGCTGTTCCGAGATGAGGAGTCCTCCCTGCAATGGACTGTCTGGTTTCAAGTAATCTATTTTTAATCACTGAAATGAGAAAGGAGGCTTAAAGGACTCTCCATGGTCTCACTCATCCCCATAAATTCTGGGCAGTTTGAAGAGAAAGGATCCCTCATGCTTCAGCACCTCCCTTGTCAGTCCAGCCCAGGATAGAAGTGCTTCTGCCTTTCTTCCTGGAGACTTCCCAGAGCAGGTCTGACACACTGGGGCCTGAGGAGCAGCCACGAGTGGCACAGCTGCTGTTTGTAGTTGGTGCTTGTTTATCCACCCCAGAAAGGATCAAAGGCCATTCACAGTGTTGGAGGTGGGTCTTGCAGTTGATAGATCAATTTGCATCAGCTGTTTGCATAATGTAGGCTCCGAGAAGATTAATCTCCCCATAGTAATCCCAAATGAAATCATTATAATCAAACTGCAAGTTACTTCATTGCAAATACAATACAAACAATGACAGGGCAATTACAGGCATGTGCTGCTGAAAACAAACACATGCTGTGCAACAGAATGGGCAATTTCAAATACTGAGTTTGATTTAAGCAGTTGGAACACACACAAATGATGGTAACACAATGACAGTTTTCCTCTCCAGGGATTTAAGGACGAGTATTTCTTTTCTGTGGTGTCACTGCTGCATGGCAATGGGTTTTTTACTAAAACATAACTTTGTGTGATCATCTTGATGAATAAATACAATTTTCAAATGTCTCACAGAAGGTAAGGGCAGCAGAGACACAGGTAAGGTGTGAGTGGCTTGGGAGATTTGAGATGAGCAGTGAAGTTGCAGTGTGGTTGCAGCAGTGATGAAGGTGAGCACTGATGGCTGCTGAATGGCTCTAGAAAGTGCTGTCTCAGCCATAATTTCCAGCAGCAGCTTCATTACGTGGTAACCTCTGAAGTAAAATCCCACTACAACTTTCCTCATTGGTGTGTCAGTACTTTGCAGGCTGGCAATACGTGGGTGTTGAGTTGACACTGTCTTTTAAAATGTTTAGAAATTAGTAACTTTCAAGTACCAAATGTACCAGACAGCAATAATATAAATTACAGAGCTAAAGAAATGCACTTATTTTTACAAGACGTTGCTTTTTTCACTCCTAAAAGGTTACCAGGTGTGTAATTACATGTGAGAGATTAGGACCTGCTCCAGAGCCATTGAAACCAGCAGGAATCTTTCTGTTAAGACAATAGATGTTCCAATAAGCTGCTGGAGCTGTTCCAAGCTGTACAGTACCTGTGGTGTGTATCAGAACAGGTTCACTTCTTTCACTGGAACCACCCAGGTTTTGGGCTCTGACACAGATGTGATACTTTTGTGCTGGCTGGAGGTGAATTAGGACTTCACAGTTAGGGATCCCAACAATAGATCTACAGAAAACAAATCCGTGGAAAATGAGAGGGTAGAAAACAAAGGTAGGCCTTTGAAATTATTTTTCTGAGCAACAAGGCAGACATTACACTTCAAGTTGTCTTGTTGACAGCAACAATTTTACCTTGTACAGCTGCCCGTAGCAGGGCAAGAGAGAGTTTGTGACAGCCTGCAGATTTTTACATTTGCTTCTGCCCTTTTCCCATACCCATAATTCTCATATAGCAGCTTGTGATTATTTTACATTCTGAACATTTTACAACTAATTTTACTAAGAGGATTGTTTGTAAATGTAAATTCAGAAGGTCATGGGTCCTTTCTTAGTCCTATCTGATGCCACAGAATTGAAATGGTTTCATCTCTACAGGCCTTGGGCTCAATAGAAGAGTAACTCACTCAGTAATAATATCATCATTTTCTTCATCTGTCAGCTTGGACAATTCAACTGTGTAGGAATCAACAGGGTTAATGTCTCTGGATTCCCAGCACACCAGTGCTGCATTTTCACAGCTTCGGATCTTTTTATTCTTTATGGTTGGTGGTGAAGGAGCTAAAAAGTAGGGAAAAGAACAATTCTAAGCTGTTGCTTGAAGATGCTTGCAAACAACATGCTTTGAAGATAAGGAAATAGAAAAATGTTGTTTACTAATATTGTGTACGTAAAGAAACCTGCTTCCCCAATGGACAATAAACAGCAGGTAGAGTGATTAACAGTACTATTTAAAGACTTCATTTAGACTATAAAGGTCCCAAGAGAATCAAACAGAGAAGTAACATAAAGACTGATTACACAACTGTTTTCTACCATTAGTTTTATCTTTGTCATAAAGGTGCATCCTTTCTCTGCTCTGAGATGTCAGAGACATCTGAACAAGCACTCAAAGGTCTCACACTGACTTGCTCAGTCTGATGTCAGGATTTCACACAATGTCCTAGACTGAACTGCAGTTAAAAAGAACAGCATAACATGTGAATCCACAAAATACCTATAGGCCAGTAAAAGGAGAGCTGGGATTCATCTGGCAGAACCAGGAAACCTGAACCTTATTCACAGCTGGTCTACATGCTTGCATTTATATAAGTTATTTTGTCTCTCTGCTTCTGTTTCTGCCACTCTAAAACAGGGACAGTTGGCATGATAGGGTCTCTAAATAAAAGTAGGGAATTCCCTTGCAGTCAGTAGCCTTACATCACAAAAAAGAAAGTGTCCAGAAAGCATTACTTGCATAAAATTCAGAGATGATTTTGAATTTCACTATGAAGTTACAAAGCTGTATGAACAAAATATTTTTACCTGTTACATAAACTGCTCTTTCACTTGGTGGACTGATACCGGAGGCATTTAAAGCACTGACCCAAAATTCATACTGTGTATTTGGCAACAGATCAGTAATGGTGCAGTATGTTTCTTTGACTTTTAGTGTATGCTCTGAAATGACAAGAACAAAGCATTTACAGTGCCTTTACACACTTGCCCACTCTTCCCCAAAGCTGCAGCACACAGTGGAGCTGGGGTGCATTGTTTTGGGTGCTGAGTTCAGGAGAGCTCCTTGTGTTCCATATTCTTTGATCAGCTGTCAGGCAGTTTCACAATGCCTTCCTCTAAAGCAGCATAAATGAGATGGGACAAGAGCTGAAGCTATTTTACTGCTCATTTCTCATTCTTCATCTTATAAAATTTGGATAGTTTCTGCTTTTCTTTCTCAACTGGCCACTGGCACTCTACTGGCTTCCACTTTTGAAGGTCTGCAACAACAGTATCAGCAAAGGCAGTTTTGTCACAAGGCTGAGACATTTTGATTATGTGGTTCTTTGTGTGCCTGTGCATCTTAGGGAGTTACAGCCTATTATTAGCACTAAGATAAGCTGTAAAATCATCTGGGGGTTTCAGCTGGAGTGCTGTTGATATGATGATTTGCTCTTTAAAAATACTGTGCTTTACCATGGATGCAGCACATGTTCAAATGCAGTGCCCACCCTCCAGAAATCCTTGTGACTCCATCCACTGTCCCCTTCCCATTCCTGCTATCCCTGCTGCTGCATCCTGTCTTTGCTCCTGTGATGGGTCCTGCTGCAGCTGGCAGCATGGCAGACCTGGCAGGGGAGGAGGGACAAAGCAGATGGTGGTGGCAGATATGACAGTTTTGGTGGCAGACAGAGTGCACAAGGCATGCAGAGGCACTTTGGCATCAAAGCTGGTTTTGCAGTGGAGGGCTGAGGTGTCCCTTGGGCCCAAGCCTCCTTACCTGCTTGCCCATCACTGTGCCTCTCATTGCTCACTGGTTGGTAGCACAGCTGGTAGCACTCCACAGTGTCATCCGAGAAGAGGCCCCAGCAAACTCTCAGTGAAGTGCCAGTTGCTGCATTGGGAGCCTGGGGATTGATCACAGGGGCACAAGGAGCTGCAGAGGGAAAAACAGGTCAGTTTTTGAATGTGTAATCATGGTTTGTTGTACCTCTCCTCTCACAGAGATGTTTGCACATAGCCCTGGCACTGAACAGGGTCATATTCCTCAATTCCTCCCACATAGAGAAAAGTCAGGAGCTGACTCTGTAAACAACTGCAGATAGTAATCAGGTCACTGATGTGTGAGAACTAGTCTTGCTTCAAAATAAAGTCAAACCAATGAAATAAATAAACCTCAGCCTACCCCTCCACTGTAAACTCAGCTTCCCCTGCTCTGAGGGCTGCTCCAGTGAGCCCAACATCTGCCATGCCACCACTCCTGCCAGCCACCCCAGGATCAGGGAAAAGCTCTACAACAGGGGGCATCAGCACAACCAAACAAGTACAAGTACTGTGTTAAGAAAACACAGTATTGGGTATAAAAAAAGAATAATGTTCTTTCTGACCATTTGTGATGCACCAGAAAATATTTAAAATTTTAGGCGTTTTTGTTTTAGTTACTCAAAATTTGTTTATGTAGTGCTGTTTCCTGTGGATTATGGGGGGAAAATTGCTTGCTAAATAGCAGAGGAATAGGTCACTGAAATCTGTTTATCAAGAGAAGCTGGGTAAGTTATTTAAAGCAGTCTGGGGTTCCTCTTATTTTGTTCAAGGAACTACAAGGTAAGACAAGTTATCACTGACTAAGTGTGCCTGACCCCTCAACAGAAGGGGGTAATCTTTATGAGTCTTCTAGGAAATCATCCAGCAAAAGCAAGGAAGTCCCAATTTAGCAGTAATTCTGGTAATTTTATATTGAAAACAAATGGAAAAAAAAATCCAAAAATATCTTGCAGTGTCCCTGTATATATAGGCAAAGAAAAAAAAAAAACAAACTAGAAGGAAAAGTAGGGAGAAGTTAATTCTGCCTTTGCAGATCTCCTTTAAAAGATGTAATGTTTAATACATATCCTTACTTAAATGTAAATAGGTGTGAAATAATGATCAGTTAGGAAGAGTACCTGGAATAGCATTAATGGAGTTCATTAGTTGTTCAACTTCAGAGACATCTATGATGCGCTCTTCAAAGTCTGGCAGCGTTGAAAGCTCTAAATCCACTTCTTTCTTTAAGAATTCTTCCAGCCTGTAATTGTAGGGGGGAAAAATAATGTCTAATTGGAAGTACCATAGTGTTGGAGGTATCTGTCTGTGATGCCTATTTTTAAGAGAATAAGAAGAGCAGAATCCAAATTAACATCTGTTTCCTCAAAACACGGTTTTCGGAGCTGTACAAGCTCAGCCTCCTCATGCCTGTAGCTTGGAGATTCGTGGCCATCACGGCCCAAGATGCCGAGGAGAGCTGGCTGCTGCTGGGGCTGGTGTGCCCTGCTCCTGCAGCGAGCTGGCTGAGCACTCCAGGCAGGGCGTGGGGTGTGCCCAGCACCTCCCTGTGGGAAGCACCCCTTTAGCTCCGTAACTCCCATTATTGTGAATTTACTCTATTACTGATTCATGACCTCGTGGTTCTGGGTGTTATAAATTTGAAAGAAAGGGGTATCTTTTCTCTGTGTTTTCATGAACAATAACAGTCAATTAAAAGGGTGGTTTTTGCTTATGATTTAGTGTGCCCTAAGACTTCTTCCAGTTGTTCCAAGATTTTTCCGTATCTGTTTTGAGCTCCCACAGCTTGACTTTCTACACCACTATATTAATGCATAAATAAGCCCATTACAGTATATTTAGGGAGTTCCATTTTAGTTTCATTTGGATCCAGAGTGGTTATTTCAAGAGCTTTAGCAATCCTGTTTCTTAGTGAAATTAGTTCCTTATGACTAAGCTGAAAACACTGATTTATTCAGGCTCTAACTCTCCTTTCGGATTTCTTGAAATTGGATCCAAACAAGTGTTGAGTGTTAAGTTTCTTAGAACAACTTCTTCTGATGCACTTTAAAACAAAAATACTAAATATTTCAATTGCTCTAGTGGCTTAGACAACATTTTTGTGCCTGAACAAAGTCCAGAACACGCAAGCATCTCCAATAACCCATCCAATTAGCAGGAAGAAATGTGACACAAAATCCCAGACTGTGATACTACCTGTCAACCATGGTTACTGCTGCCTGTTGGAAAAAAAAGGACAGTGTGTTAGAGGTAGAAAAGTCCAGAGTCAGACTACATCATGCTGTTGAGCTGTCTTACACAAATTACCCCACATGCAATACTTGGAGTGAAGTAATTGGCTCTCACCCAACTCTGAGAACAAAGCCAGCCCTTTCTATTGAAATGGACAGATCTTGGCTGGATTTACAGAAAGATAATGAGCAACATCAGGTAGTCATCAGTGTCTGCCCATTCAGGCTTTAGACCAATTCCTTCCTTGGTTGTCCAAAGTGCCAACAGATCCCTCACAAACAAAAACCAAAATCAGCTGGGCAAAAGAACTCATGAAATGATCTGTGCTAGAGGGAGTCTGAGCAGTGCATGTAACTGGAAGACAGATGTACAGTCCCAGGAGAAACCTAAGCCCCTGAGAGCTCAAGACCAACATTCACTTCTTGATGAATAATGGTTCTTAGGGGCAATGTAAAACTGTTTACAAGCTAAGGAGAAAATAAGTCAGCTCGTGTGAAGAACTCAGCAGGCTGGAGTCATAGTAAACTGACCCACAGAAGTAGACTAGGTGGTGTTATGAGATTTGTTTGTTGTCCAGTTCAGAAGTTACTGTCACCGTGCTACAGAAATGCTCCCACCCACCTTAGTCACAAGACAGCTCAGGTGAGAGCAATCACTCATCATCAGTGAAAATTCTGATTTTTTTTCCAATTATTTTTCTACCTGCCGAAGAAAAATATCTTCTTGACACCACCTCAAGAGGGGATTTCATCCATCACTTTGTTTTTGATGTATTTCAGCTGAACTTTCCTCCAAAATGAGCAAGAAAAGGAAACATCTTCCTAAGTGATTACATCAGCTTGCCTGCTGTGAGCCCAGAATAGAGCAAGAGAGCTGAGCCTGCACAAGGCAAGGAACATTAAGTGCTTCCAGAGTTTCCCCAGATAAGCATTTCAGCAAGATATCTTCTCTCTGAACCCCAGTGTGACTCACAAATGAATGAGTATCCAAATTACAAACTTCTACTTCTGCATTTTGCCCCCATTGTGTTGCCCTACTAAGTCAATGCCACCATGCCAAGCACCAGGAGAAGCGACAGCACCATGGAATGAGCATCCTAAATTCTCCCTACAATAAGGCTGATTGGGGGCTTCTCAGACAGGGACTACTTGCAAGCAGCAAAAAGCACTTTGACAGTTAAAGCTCTTTACCTTCATAAATTCAGCTTTGTCATTTTCCAGGAAAAGCTCCTGGGTTTCATCTGTCAGCTCCTTGCAGGTGTCAAGATGTTTCCCACAACTGACCAGCTGCTCATACAGAGCTTCCAGCTTCTGCCTCTTCTCTTCTCCCAGTGCTTCCAGCTGCTCTTCATACTTCTGAGCAAGCACTTGCACTGCATCATTGTAATGCACCTCAAAGTTCTGCTCCTGCCTCCCAAAATTTTCCTGCAAGATATTTGAAGGTTTGTATCTTGGCATCAAGCCTGATCCACAGGTCATGCAGAGGAAAATTTTACTCTGGTCTGCCTAAACTTTTCCTTACCATAGAGGTAATATGTTATGATTTAATTCACAAAACTAGGACACGGTACCAGTACACAGAAGCTGTAATTTGACTTATGTGCATTTTTAGGGGTTTAGTCTGATCATTCACCCCCCATTGAAGCATAAAAGTGTTGGATTTTGTTCCAGACATAAGAGCAACAGAAATTACAGCAGGAACAATGATGTAAAGCAACCTAAACCCAGGGAGCACAACTAGGGTATATCCTAGTCATAATCTCACAAGCATTTCCACCAATACAGTTAAGCACATCCTTGCATGAGAGAAACCATGGCAACTCAGTGGGATCCATGGATTTGTGCTGAGGGAGCTGAGTTGCTAATGCTGGTATCCTTACTCACAGCTGGAGAAAGCATTAGGAAGGAAGATTTAAGGAGCAGGCAAGTCAAGGAGCAGTCCCAGCAGCTGCTCACTGTTCAGGCACCAATGTCCTCCTGTGCCACATGCAGCAGAGAAAAGACTGCAGTGCCCTGAGTTTTTGCTTCAGGTTGAACTTGCTGCCAGCTGACCTCCTCCCCCTGGGGCCAAGTTGACAGCAATCGAGTGGGAGCACAACTCTTGAAGTCATCAGCTTGAAGCAGCTGGTCCAAGGATTTGCCTGGATCTGACACTTCTGTGAATGATGCTGAGGGAACACAAGGGCTGCACTCTGGATGAACTAGTCAGATCACAGCTCTTTGGCCATTTAAAGCTAAGATGACCTGAGTGGGGGTCACTTTATTTCTGAATGCAAACTTCTGTGCAAATTATAAATGTGGTTTTACTAGCCCACTTAAAAAATCTTTAGGATGAGTTTTCCTGAGTACTTCAGTCTAGACAAACCCCAAGATAAGTCTGTGCTCTGTTACTGTAAGTGCCCACCTCTAACAACTGAAGACTACGAATGTCAGTATGACTGTCAAAACTGTTTAACCCCACTACCATAAAGTTAGCCCAAGGGAAAACGCCTTACCTCCACAGTGATGAAGATTTCCTCCAAATGGCTGGCAACATTTTCCATGTGAGCAATCTGTTCTTCCAACTTGCACATGTTTTTATGGATCTCCTCCTACAAAACACCCAGTGTGATTCTTACTGTGTCTGAAGACTGTTTTAGAGGCACCACAGTACATCTGTGTTACTCTCACCTTTTCACTTTCCACAGCACTGGGGAGCTGAGCAACCTCGTGATCCTTGTGTTCACCAAATAGTTTGTCAAAAGCTCGGATTGGTATCTTGCAGGTGGAACAAAAAATATCTGCTGCTTCTTCCTCTTCCTCCTCCCCCTCCTCCTCACTGACAGCCTGACTGTTCCACTCGTCTGACATGCCACCACTGCTTAGCCCCCCTCTGGACCATATGCTGCTCTCAGCCTCATCATCTGCTCTGGCTTTGCTCTGATTTTCACCTTGAGAAGCCTCATCAGGAATTCCTTGTTGCTTTGTGCTTTGACTTGTATCTTTCACTGAAGAGCTGCTTTTTGATATGTTATATATGGAGCCTTGTAATCCTGCTTTTTCTGGGCGAGCTGGTGGCCATCTGCTCTCCACCTTCTCCAGATGTCCTTCAAGAAGCTCAAGCTCTTTTTCTCTATCCTCATCAAGTCCATACATCTTAGCCAACTCTGCAACCTCCTTTCCCAAGTCATAGCCAACTTCTTGTGGGCGCTGAACTTTTTCACTACTCAATGCAGATTCCTGTCTCGTATCCCCCAGAGATCTGTCTCCTCGACCAGAGAGCTCTTCAGGAAAGATATCAAACCTCTCCTTTGATCCATAAAGATCCATGTGATAAAAGATCAGGCCTTCAGTCTCAGTGTCACTAGACTCTGGGACTGGTAGGGAAGCTGAATAATGTCGTGACTGCCTGCTAGTCTCATAGTCTCTCGTGCTGCCGGATCTGGATGACATTGGTATCCTCAGGGAGGCTTTTGAGATGATGAGTCTCAAGCTTGTAAAAGATAAGAAAGATCTTTAGCTACACACTTAGATATCAGGATTGAGTTTTTCTTGCTTAAAAGTATATGGATAGAATAGATTTGGCTGAGGACTGCTCAGGTCCTGGAGGTAGGCATGGCAAAGACCAAAGTCAGTAGCTTCACTCCCTAAGTAAAGCTTCTGAAGGGAAGCCATGGGAAGCTTGTTTTCTTCTCAGCTCAGTGCAAAGCACAGCAGAGAGCTGACTCTGGTGTGCGTCATCTTTGCTGGGTACCTCATCTGTGACCCTGATGCCTGATTTCAAACTGTGGAGCAGTCCTGTCCTCAGATAAACACTGTGACTGTGCTTCAGGCACAGTTAGTGCTGTTCTGTGCAATTGGAAATGGCCTGGTTTGAAGCCTGCTCACTCCTCAGCTGCTGTCAAGCATGTTTTCTGAACTGTCAGTCAGGCATAACGTAGAATGTCCTCTGTTGTGACCACTGATGCCACAGAACACACTAGCAAATGCCCTGGAAAGTCCTGTTCTGTATTTTTCAAGTTGCCATTCTTAATACTGAAACTTGAGTCAAGGTCTTGGGTCCTTTCTAAAAAATATCACAGAGAAAACATACTGCCCTTTGGGGCTTCTCATGTGCTGTGGAAAATACACATTTTAACATATAAAGCATCCAGTAACTAGGGAGCAAGGAAGGCCATTGACCTCTGGACTGAGAGATGCCTGCTCTGACCCAAACCTTGCACATTTTGTCTATTCTGTGCAAGGAGGAAGGTGTGAAAAGAGCATGTGCAGGTGACATGGAAAGCTGTATGATAAAGCACATGCATGTGGGGTAACATTAAAAGTGCAAAGGCAATTTTAATGCTGATTCCCAAGCCCACTCTTTCCAATCAGCCTGTATTAACAGCAGTGAAATAATGCCAGCACAGTCAAAGCTCTCTCTGAGCTGAAACGTCTCCACAGCCCTTCACTGCTCACCAACATGAATGGAATCACAGCTACAAAACTACTCAGATCAATTTTATCAGCAGTTTAGTACCACAAGCAAAAGACTTCATGGAAAGATTTCAGCTAATTATCACTTAATCTCTAGTTACATCTAGTCCTAGGTAAGTGAAGCATATGAAAGCTTTAAAATCACTTTCTCACAGAAGAAAAAAAGCCAAAAGATCAGTCAGACATCAGTGTCATCAGAGCTTCTGCATAAGCTTTCACAAAAGTTTGCTTTCAAACTACTATTGATGGTCTTTTTAGTTTTGAGTAGTTGCTACTACCTCAAATTTATTTCATCAATATTTTACTAATTTTCCTGTGAAATGCTTAGCTAATAGAGCCAACACAATCAATGACTTTGTAGAAAGCAACTTCCCAAACCAGTGAAAAATATTGAGACATTTTGCACTCTCTGGTTTTATATCCCTGGCTGAGTCCAGCCCCCTTACAGATCTGTAAGAAAACCCACACAGAAGTTCATAGTTTGTCTTCTGGCACTGCAGACATGGTGTGGATTCTACAGTTAGCAATATCCTACTATAGACAAAAACACTGAAGTTAGGCAGAAATACTATTTACGCTAAAGGCACTAAAATAAATCATGCAAATTCTAACATTTAAAACAGAGAAAAGGTCTTAACACATACCAGCAAATGTTGTCTGGCTCCCGCAAAGACTTTTTTCCCCATAATTAAAACAATAAGGCTAGCTTTAGAAGCTACTACTAATTAGAAAAGTGAATTAACATTTATTTTTCCTACCAAAATGAAATGAAATAAATTAAAATTAGCATAATTAAGCTTGTCTGCAATCCTGCTGCCTAAATAAGATTTTCAGATGATTGCTCATCAGATGCTTGCTCTGCAGGCACAGATAAAATTACATGAAGCACGTTTAGATCCGTGACCGCCAGTTATCATAAATACATAACAAAGAATGTTACTACCTAAAAACTTGCCTTCTATCTTAAGACGTCATAAATTCTTCTGATAGCTCAGATGGCATCAAAGTTAACTTCTATTCCCCCTAGTAAAAATTAATTCACACGAAAGCAATTCCTTGCCACTTTCCTATAACTGCAGCTGGGAGACTTATTGCGGTAACCTTACCCTGCCTCTTTGCTCAGATAGGGGCATGCCAGCAATGAGCAATGGCACAAATATAGATGTGCCCCGGCTGTCCTTCAGCAGTGTGCTGCTTGAGTGTCACCAGGATGAATGTCACACACTGAGAACGGGCTCTGAAGTACTTTGAACAGTTACAGAGAGCCCTCACTAAAGCCAGAGTACGCTCTCACTTTTGGAGGTGTTGTTAATAAATGCTGCAGAGCGCATTCATTGCCTCTGGGTGTGATTTCCAAGGCTGGGGTGTTAGGCAGAGTGTCCTGTGTGGGAGACACAAAACGTGCAAACAACTCACATGGCTGGACATGTGTTTACAAAGTTGCACAACTTAATGGAAGTACCTGTTCTGTTCTTTGAAAACACTTGCTGGCAAAGTCCTCTCAAATTAGCAAGAGCTTTTCTATGGGGCTGAGTTGGAATCATGATCACACATTAGAAAGAAAAAGAAAATTTAGAGTTTAGGAAAAAAAAAAGATACCTTGCATATGCTTATTATACATATCCATACATCCTCAACCAGACCTCAGGAAAGCTAATTATGGTGAAGAAAGTAGACAACGACCCCGCTAGGGAGGTTTTCACAGGAACATATCTCTGCAGTCTGTGCTCTGTAGGGGTCTACCTGATAAAAAACAGGCTGTGTATTACCACTGATTATTGTGACTGCCGTAGCACTTGAGCTTTGTGAATCTGCTCAAACCCACAGCTGCCCAGCACACTCAGGCTGCTGCTTGTGAACACGCTACCGAGCCAGCCCTGCTGGCAGTAGATTTTTAAGCACGTTTGAGAATGTTGAATTGTATATGGCTTGAGCTCAGGGGATGCCACAAGGGACAATGTCTATTAGATCTTGACACAGCTCTGCTTTTTCCTCCTTTTCCAATTATCTTGGTGTCATTTCCTCACTTTTCTAGCAGTGCAATTGTTTGCTGTTTGGTGAGGAATCACAAGTTAATTGCCCATGTAGGCACGATCTCATTACTGCTAACAGTGCTTCTATCATCTGTGAGATTAGAGCAAAAGTGTTTTCACACAAGTGACGCAGCCCTTGCTGAAACGTTAACATTCATGCTGTCTGACAGATTTGATTAATTTTTCAAACAAGATCTTATTTTTGCTTTGTGTTAAGCTACGCTATCTTACAGGCCTTAATTTCTCAAAAAATTATCAGTGTCAGCTTTGCTGCCAAAGACTGGACTATAATATTTGGTGGACAGTAAATTACATCTTGCCTTGGACACAGGGCCTGAATAAGAGAGCAGTGACACTGCTCTTGTTCCATCACCCCACTGCCCTTTGCTCCCCTCGGTGCCCGTGAGGCAGCGTTTGGGTGGCATTCATACAAAGCATGGTGACCTCGGGGCTGAGCTGGGTGCAGGACAAGCACCCTCGGCTGTTTGTGGGCCCCAGGGCTCAGGTTCTGGCTCAAGGCAGCGTGGGGAAGGAGTGTGGGGAAGGAGTGTGGGGTTTGCCTGGCTTTGGAGAAAGCAACAGCTCGTCAACTTTTGCAAGGACCACAGGAATGATGGCTGGGAGGAAAACTGCCCCTCAGGCAGCGGCTCAAAGTCGGGGCTGTGTGTGCCCTGCTCCCTGCCCGCAGAATAGTGAAGCTTTCTCCTTCCACTACCAAGGAAACACACAGGGAAGATGGGGCAAGATTATTTGCAAGAGCATGTACTGACAGGACAAGGGGGGATGGTTTCAAATTAAGAGCAGTTTTAGATTACATATTGGGAAGAAATTCTTCACCACTGTGAGGGTGGCACTGGTTGCCCAGGGAAGGTGTGGATGCCCCATCTCTGCAGGCGCTCAAGGCAGGTTGGATGGAGCTCTGTGCAACCCGGCCCGCTGGAAGGAGTCCGTGCCCATGGCAGAGCGGTGGGAACGCGATCTTCGGGGTCACCTCCCAACCCAACGCAACGCAACCCCACCCATGCCATGCCGTGCCATGCCATGCCGTGCCATGCCACAACCCGGTGACAAACGGCCTTTCCCGGGACCGCCCCTCTCGCTCTTTTACTACGGCACTGTTTATTTTCCACTCCCGCCGTGAGGGCCGCCCTGGCCCCGCCCCTGTCTCGGCTCAGACCCCTCCCCATGGCCCCGCCCCCTGCCTCTCCCGCCAATGGGCGCGGGTGCTGCCGGTAACGCGCACCGGCTCCGCCCCTCCCGGCGCTCGGTTTCTGTTTCGCTCCGGGCCCCGGGGCCGCTGTCGCCGCTGTCGCGATGGAGCCGCAGCCCGACAGCCTGGAGGGGTGGGTGGCCGTGCGCGACACCGCCTTCGCTGAGCCTCAGCCGCCGCCGCGGCTCCGCTTCCTCGTGGCGTGGAACAGCGCGGAGGGCGCGTTCGCGGTGACCTGCCACGGCCGGGCGGAGGCGGCGGAGCAGGCCCCGCAGAGCTGGGCCGGGCTCTTCTCGGCGCCGGCCCTGCGCGGCGTCCACCGGCAGCTGTCGGCCGTGTGCCCGCGCCTGGAGCCCGCCTTCCCCGAGCTGCCGCCCGCGCTGCCCGGCGCGGCCTCCGGCGGGCTCTGGGCCGTGCTGTTCCCCGGCGGCGCCGCGCCGGATGAGGCCGAGCTGCAGGAGCTGTGCCGGGCGCTGGAGCTGTACCTGGGCTGGGCCCTGGAGCTCTGCGGCGGCCGCGTGGTGCTGGACGCGCTCTTCGCCGCCGACCGCTGCTGCGACGACGAGTACTTCGAGAGCCTCCACGAGCTCCGCGGGAAGGCCCTGCGCGGCCACCTGGCCCGGGCCAAGGAGGCCCTGCGGCGGGTACGGGCCCCGGGGCCGGGCGCGGGGCGGACGGGAGCCGGGGCGCGGGGCCGGCCCCAGGGGTGCGGGGCCGGGGAAGGGCCCCTCGGTGCGGGACTGTCTTCAGTGTTCGGTGCCGCAGCTCAGCTCATGGGTGCGCCTGTCTGAGCTGGGAGATGCATGGTAAGCCTGGCAGCCCCTGCTGCTGCGGGGCTTCACCCATCAGGGCAGACTCGCCAGGCTCACGTGAGCGAGGGTGACCAAGTCACTCATACCAGCTTGCTCGTGGTGTTGTCCAATGTCCAGATTTGTGCTTACACAAACACTTTTTTATTGTCTGGAAGCCACAAAGTCACTTTCCGAAGTACTGTCATCGGTCTTGGAAGTGCACCTTTATTAAGTGGGGAATAAGCCACGTCCACGTGGGCAGTCACTGTAAGACATTGGGGCTCTTACTTAAGCTGCAGGCACTCCTGCAAAAACACATGGCTAAAAACATCCAGCAGTGTTGGGCAATGGGTGGAACAGTAACCGAAGAGGAGAATACAATCATGTGCTAATTTTCTAACCTCCCTGAGAAGGTCTCCGACTGCATGTTTGCAGTAATGCTTGTAACTGGGGGATTTTCAGTCTCAAGACCAAACTTATTCCTGGTCCTATACAAATAAGTGGTTTTGTATTCAAAGAAATTGTGTGGGGGTTTTTGTTGTATTTTTAAGTGTCAAATTCTGACCTAATGATTGAAATAATGATGATATCACTTTCTTCCTTTGGTGCGTTAGGTTTCTTCTTGCTATAGATGTGTTCCTGGATCTTTTCCCCTTCTTGTAAGCAAGAATTCAAAGGGTGGTGTGTAGTAACAGAGTTGCAGTTAGGACATCGGAATGTTGATGAGTTACAGATAATTCAGGCTCACCCGTGTGTTGCTGCTGTCTCTTGCAGTACCTGTTTACAGTCTATTTTCTGGCAAAGTAGCCTGAAAGGCATTTTATGAAAGTGATCATGCTTTGGAGGAGTGTTATGACAGTTGACTTCAGCCTTCTCTTTCCTATTGCAGTATTTAACAGATGAAACAACACTACTTTTTCAGAAAGACACTGTTTTTAAAAACACAGCTTTAGTTTACATGAACATGTACCTTGTTGTATACAGAAGTCAGTGTGTGTCACTGACTAACAGTTCACAGCCCAGTTAGAAATACATTCCAGCCACCACGTTCCTTTGGAAGCAGCACAAGCCTGTTCAGCTCTGGCAGTCTGGGGCTTGGTGGTGAGGTACAGCTTGGTGCCTCTCAGTTACTCTGGGATTTCCAGCTATGTTTTAGACATGGCTAAACATGCTGTAGAGTGGTATTGTACTTGCAGGCCTAACAGGGACATAAATTCTTATACTGCAGTCTAGACCAAGTTATGGAAGATTCAAGAAATAGACATTAAACCACTCTGAAGTACCAGAGCATCCTTTTATCTTTTTTACATTCATGTCCTTCACTAATACTTCCCCTCTGCTCACTCTAAGCATCCTCCAGGAGCAGCATGACCCTCACTTCTTGCTTTTAGAGTAGCAATCAAAAAGTCAGCTCTCACATTTGTATTTGGCTTCCATAGGGGCAAAAGCAGACTGAAATGGCTCAGGTGGGCCCTGGGACTGTGTCTGAGCTGCCACAGGCTCCTGGGAGGCCCAAGAGGCTGTCACATTTAAGGGATTATCAGAAATATTGCAGTTCAGATTCTCTTGTTCCCCTGTCTTGCCTGCAGACAGGGTGGGTGGGAAATGCCCTTGAGCTGACTTCCACAGATTTTCCCTGGGGAAGTTCCTCCATACATGGGAACTCTGCTGTCTTACCCAGACTCAGCTGGCAAGAACAAAGGTGATGGTTTAATTTCAGTGCTTTTCAGTTGCAACACAACCCAAGCTTATTTTTTTAATGCTTTTTCTCACTGCTGGTAGCAGACACCCCCCTCCCATCCCCTTCCCTCTTTATGGAGCTGCAGAGCACACACTGTCCTTCCAGGAAGGTCTGTTTCTCAGTGGAACTTAGCTGTGTTCTCTCAGCCAGCTCACTATCCTGGCATGTAGAGCATGCCATGGTCTCTGCCAGCTGGTGTTAAAGAAAAAAATTGGAGCTTTGAGTGGTACCAGTAAACACATGCAATTAATGGGAAATCCCCAACTTTTTATTTTGTCACAGAAGGAAATAAATAGGGCCTACTGTATTGAAAGGCAGTAACTCCATGGAATAATTATGACTTACAAAGTGTA